TTGTTGTCATACGGATTTCCACTCAAGGCGTCAGCATGTGTGCAGAGTAGAACTGCTCCACAGGGTTTTCAAGGTGTGACCTTGCAGAAGCAGATCGCCAGGCCTGCCTCCAGAGGCGCCTCAGCTCGCAACTTTTCCGTTGACAGTCTAACACTTCCGTTTGGGCCACCCACCAATCCAAAACCCACAGCCGTGGAGTCCATTCCAGCTCATAACGACCCTACGAGGTTTCCAAGGCTGTAAAATCTTTATGGAAGCAGACTGCCACCTTTCTCCCGGGGAGCCGCTGGTAGTTTGGAACCCCTGACCTTTCTGTTAGTAGTCCATCTGCTTTAATCATTGCTCCACCAGGGCTCCCTCTTGGGCCACCCAGGGACTGTAAAATGTTGGTATATTCTATGAAAAAACTTCCAGAAGAACCAAATCAATATACCAGCCGCTAACCTCTGAGGCATAGCGTCAGGAGAATTTTCAGGTTATTTTCAGGATGGTTCCAACATCTTTACATGAAGGCACGCACGCACTTTAAGAATAAAATGTATCTAAATCAGTTTTTAGGGGTGGGGTGGAGAGAATATTTTCTTTCTTTGTGAAAACCAATATTTAATATTTCAGTGTCACATCATCTGTCAGATACGTAATTCAGTGGAAATGGAAATAACTTGGAAAAAAATTTTTTCTGGTGGCAAAAATATGTATTTACTATTAAGCTCCCTTCCTTCCCTCTCCCCCGCCCCCCGCTGTCAAGTGGATTCAGACTCCTAGAAAACCTATAGGACAGAATAGAACAGCCCCATAGGGTTTTCCAAGGAGCAGTTGGTGGATTGGAACTGCCGACCTTTTGGTTAGCAGCCATAGCTCTAAACCACGGTGCCACCAGTGTTCCATATTTACTATAGAAAAGTATAAAGAAAAAAACAAAAAATAAATAAATAATTTAGAACACCCATAATTCCATCCCTAAAGACTAATGATAATAAAATATTGGACTATTTTCTTAATGAGTCAGAAGCACATTTACACGTGCATCTGAGTGGCTGGTTAGAAAAAAATAATCATGTTCAAAACATATACTTCACAGAATGGGACAAAAATGAGATTTGGAGTTGGAAAGAACCATTTAAATCCTTACTCCCCATTTATTAACTGAGACCTTGGGCACTTCCGTTTCTTCGTCTGTAAACTGGAGATAACAATATTCATCTTGTAAGACTGAGGATTAAACGAAATGCACAGATCAAAATATAGTACTGAGCAGCCATGTCAGCAAGGAGCCCTGGTGTTGGCAGTTCAAATCCACCCAGTGGCTCTGTGGTAGAAAGACCTGGTGATCTGCTTCCCTAAAGATTACAACCAAGAAAACCCTATGGGGCAGTTCTACTCTGTTACATGGGGTCACTATGAGTTGGAATCAATCCAATGGCACCCAACAACAACAAGCCACATCAGCATCACTTGGGAACTTGCTACCAATGCAAACTTTCAAGCCCCACCCCTGACCAACAGCAAAGCCCTTGGATGACTGTGCACGTAAAATTTGAGAACCTTTGAAATAGGGTATATAAGTCTGGTGAGTACTCAGAAAATATAGCTGCTGCTACTAAATTGTGATATTTAATCTCCTCTTTGTCCTATTGTCCACTGAACCATCAGGAATCCTTGTCCTATATCATCCCCAATCAAGTTCAACTCAATAGCATTCATTGAGCTGAAAGTCAGTGCCAGGCAGGAGGTGCTGGGATAGTGTTCACAGTCCACAGTCAGTAGCAGGAGATGTCAGCCTCTTTCTAGGTCATATGTCTCAACATCAACGCAGAAACCTCTTTTTCTTGCTCAGAAGACTCCAAAGATGCAAACCACTGAGGTTAAACCGTAGTTTCTCAGAACAGCCTCCTTTGGGCTGGGGCCCCAACAATGCTGCTTTCAGGCCACCATTTGATAATTTGATAAATCACAGCCCCCTCATATGGAAAACACCACCAGGCTGTTTAGGAATCATTTAGCCCAATCCCATTCATTTCGAAGGGGGAAGAAGTGGAGGCCCAGGGATAGGTCAGCTGATCCATGAAGAGCTCTGCAAAGGCACCTGGCCCTGCATCTGCGTGCCTTGGGACGAACACCCTGACTCACTGTGATGATATTTTGATAGATGACACCAGGCTCAGACTGTTTAGAAATAACCATCTGCCCTTGCCAGTAATGGAAGTGACAGAGACATTAAAGTGAAATCTTCAACAGATTTATTTCATCTCAAATGAAACATACCATAAACTACCAGACTATCCGCTATTGTTGATATACAGACATATTCACGTACAAACCAGGGTACAAAAGCCCCAGGAAAGCTTCTACAGTGAATCTGATACCACTGAATGAACAGTGACAAAGAACAGCTTCAAATGGCATTTCAAACAGTCACTGGAATTAAGTAAGGATTCAATATGTGTTCATTTTTATTTAAAACAATGTTATGACAAAGACAGAAATGTGAAGGGAAAAAAAAAAAGCTCCCATAATCCAACCAGAGAGAAGCACGGTTAACATTTTGAGAGGAAGAAGGGGATCATGCCATATACAGCTTTATCTGGCCTTTTTCATGTCTTTAAAATTTTTTAAACCTCCCTAGAAGTTTAAACAAAGGGGGCCTGGTGGCACAGTGGTAAAGCGCTCAGTTGCCAACCAAAAGGTCGGCAGCTTGAACCCACCAGCTGCTCCGAGGAAGAAAGACGAGACAGTTGGCTTCCGTAAAGATTACAGCCTTGGAAACCCTATGGGGCAGTTCTGTTCTGTCACATAGGGTCTCTATGAATCAGCATTGACTCAGTGGCAACGGGTTTAATTTTAGTTTTTGGAGGTTTAAACAAATAAACAAAAACACACCAAAGAAAAGTTCACTGGATATCAATTGCCTGAGATCAATGAGTAGTCATATTGATACTAATACGCACTTGACAGCTTTGGTCACGCAGTGCTGAGTAGTTGAAGGTGAACATTCTTGATCACAGCGCCTAATGCTCACTGATCTCTGTAACAGGTGTGGGGCCCTACTGGGGCTCCCACCCTGATCTTGACCGTGATCATTTACTCAGCCAGCTCACAGTGTGGCTTCTTGAAATTGTTAAGCCCCAGGGATTTCCTCCACATCCTCCTGCTTCCTGTAACTGACCACCACAGCCTGGCGCATCTCTACTTAGCACTCCTCTCACTCTATCTTGTATTAAGGTAGTCATTTCCGCTGCATTGCAAGAATCTTGAAGGCCCGGCAGGGCTGCCTGCTTCTCCCTCTGTATCCCCCACAGAGTTTTCACAGAGGTTTTCAAGGACTCAAAATATCTGTTGGCCTTGTACTGAATTTTCTCAATCTTTTTTTTTTTTTTTTAGTTGAGAGGCTATTGTGTCTAACTAGATACGAGTACCAGTAAAATTGCAACAAGATAGAAAAAAATTCAATGCATGATTTTTATAAGAGCATAGAAAGCAAATCTGGTTAAAGCACTATAGATACCTTACAGAGCAATCACGGGCTGTACTATAATAATAGTAACAGTGATGTCCTCACTGTGAGCACTTATTATGCACTAAGCACTTCATATACATAGTTTCAGTTACGCTCCCCAACTCGCCAGATATTATTATTTCCACTTGACACATGAAAAAAATGGAGGCTGGGAGAGATGAAGTATCTTCCGCAGAGCCACCCCACCAGAGTTCCAAAGCAGTGGGGATTCTCATTTTGCTCTCTCTGAATTTAAACTCTCCCATGTTTGCATTTTTAACTCTATTCCAAAGGCAGCACATAGGCTATATCTTGTTAATTAGCACTGATTTCACTGAGAACCAAACTTTCCCAACCACCCGTGACGGTAGTCATTTCTCAGAAACACTATAAGCTCCTTAACTGCTTTCTGAATCATATAGGAAAAACACAATTTTGTCTTCTAGACTTTGCATTAGGTATGTTTTATTGCTTTCCAAGTTTTTGAAAATTGGTGGTCTGAGTAGAATGAATTTAGTCTTTTAAAAAAGTACCACTTGTAGGTTCAGAAACTGTTCTTAGCCATTGTCATCTTAGAATTCTGCCTACAACACCATGGAATTGACCAAAATACTTTTTTTCTCAGGCATTTGCAAGCAAGCTCCTCAACTGAAAAAAAAAAAAAGAGACGACGACCCTTTGGGATCCTTAGAAGAAAATTTACAAATAATGCATCCCTTATCAGTTCTTCTTTGGGCTGGGACACAAAGAAAAAGCTACCACTTTATTAAAATACTGAGCTGTCTTAGTGAAAAGTTGTCCCCAAATAAAACTAAGAAAGCTCTTTTAAAATGGAGTCCATGTTTCTGCCAAAAATACACTGGGAGTAAAACAATTTGTTCATTGCAGGCAATTATTATCTTTAAAATGCAAACAACATGCCCAGCTCGGGGCTGAAGTGGCTAACATGCCCGCTTTATCAGAATGGCACAGCGCTTGGGTAATTCTGTCCCTAGTGAACGGAGATGGAAAACAAAGAGAAGAACAAACCAGCCCTTCCTTTCTGCACCTCCCTCTTTCCTATTTTGCCCATCTGATTTCAATCAGTGTGACTCATGTTTACCAAAACAGGAGAATTGCATTCAGATGTGCAAAGGTTAGTAACTAGTTGGTTCTCAAAACCAGCTCATCCTTCAGTCACATTACAGTCTCCTTGCATTCCATTTCACTTAGATTGGCATCTGAACAGCTGCCAAATTTTTGTCCTAAGTGAGAGAACACACCCCTAGGTTAGTACTCAAAAGAGGATTTCAAAAGGGGGCAGATTTTATTCGGACTGATAGAGAAGGCATTGCCACCTGGCTTCAGACAGGGGATTTCCGCCGATTGCTTTCTGTTATTTCATTTCTATTCTGCAGTTTGCCCTTCGCTCTTCTCCTGGCCCGTTTCTCTGTAACCATTTACTTCCAGCCAATCAAGAAGTGAAGAGAGCAAAACCGCCCGCCCGCCCGCTTTCAGTTTCCTTTGCTCCGCTGCCTGCCAACCGCAAAGCCGACCGAGCCAGAGTCTCTGTCATTCCTTTCACCCAGCTCAGCTGATCCGTTGCCGCCGTCGCCGCCACCGGATTCCGAAGGCGAAGGACGCGAGGCCGAGAGATATGGACGTGCAGATCGCCCCGCTGCGCGCCTGGGACGACTTCTTCCCGGGCTCTGACCGCTTCGCTCGGCCGGACTTCAGAGACATCTCCAAATGGAACAACCGCGTGGTGAGCAACCTGCTCTATTACCAGACCAACTACCTGGTGGTGGCTGCCATGATGATTTCCGTCGTGGGGTAAGTGGCGTGTCTTCCCGGGGGCGCAGATCAGGGGCAGCACGGAGGGGCGCGGGGTGCGAGCTCCTGGAATGCAAAGACCCTTCACGCCCAGAGCCTGTCCTGGCCACTCTGTAAGCGGCAAACCATTGCAAACCTGCTCGCTGGGCGAGGCCGCAGCCATCTCAGGGTCCTTTTTGGCTTTCTGTACCCCCGGCTGAGACCTGAGGGGGTTTAGGGGCCAAGGGATGTGGGGGTGGGGGTGGGGGAAATTGTCAACTTCGGGCAAGGAAAAATTTGTTTTTTCTTTTTGTGCCTCATAAGGCTCTTGCTGGGGAGGTAGTTGCAGCGCCCTCGTCTTTTAAAAATAAGAAGAAAGAGGAAAGTGGTGTAACCCTATCCTGAGGCCGAATGGGGCGGGCGCCGCCCTAGGAGGCCGGGGGCGATTGGATGTGGACCCAGACTCTGTCTTCTGGGGGTGGTGTTGTAAAAGGGCATCTAATTGGTACGCGCTTTGCAGTTTTTTCCGCCTGGTGTCAGCCACACTGTACAGGAAAGCGGAGCTTGGGTGCAAGAGGATGGGTGTTCTCTGGTGGCGCATCGCCCAGTGTGGGGTAAAGGCTGCCCCGACTCTAAGATAGAAGTCCTCTCGCTTTTTCTTCCAGGAGATGCCAAATGTGGTCACTTTGTCTTCACTGCCCTGCCCGAGGTCTCAGTGTATCTGAAGGCCTTTTCAATACCTGACCAAACCAAAACCACACCCATTGCCATCAGGTCGATTCTGACTCACAGCGCGACCCTGTAGGACTGAGTAGAACTGCCCCATAGGGTTTCCAAGGAGCAGCTGCTGGATTTGAACTGCAGATATTTTGGTTGGCAGCCAAGCTCTTAACCACAGTGGCCACCAGGGCTCCTTAATACTTGATGATAGAATAATGTGTCCTGTGTTCTATTTCACATACACACACACACACACACACGCACACGCACGCACACACACACGCCATGCTTCCCTAGAAATCACCTTTCCTCATAGTTCACTCTTTAAGAGAGGCTTCTCTCACTTTTACAGGGTGGAGGGGAGGTGTCCTACATCTTGCTGATTATCTCCTACACATCTTTAAGGGAAAAAAAACACCCCGAGTTTTTTAAAATGCTCACTGGCCTTTTAAAAAGTGTCTGACATTTCTATTTTAGAGCAGACACAGAGCCTGGAAGAAAGAGGAGAAATCCAAACTTGGTTGAGGGAGAGGGAGAGGGTGAGTATGGTGGTTCCTTCAGTTGGCTGGCTGTTGGTTTATTTATTGAGCCACCTCTCTGTGTCAGGTCCCATGCCAAGGTTGGAGCACACCAAGATGAATTAGACGTGAATGCTGCCCCAGGGGCACGTGGCAGTTGTTGAGACGCTAAAGGAGCAAATACTTAGCACCTAGGAAAGGGAGAGAGCTCATGATTTCCGAGTGTGGTTCACAGTAGTCCCCAGCAGGCAAAAGTGGCAGCTCACTTGTGGAATCCTCATTCTGTGCTGCTTACAGAATTGCAAACTCTGGGAATGGCTTGGTGTGTCCAAGGCTCTGAGCAGACTCTGAATAGAGTGGCAGCCAAAGTAAAATTAGTCAGGGTAGGGCAAGCCTGTTCCCGAGGCAACTATCTTCTGACTGTTCCCCTAATTCTAGGCTTAAGGCTCATTTCCCTCAATACTAACAAATTTCTTTTAAAAAAAAAAAAAAAAAGACGGATTCTGTAATTCTTTACATAGAATTGCCTTGTTGTTTTGCTTTTATTTTTCCTTTCTTTCTCTTCATAAAGAAGTGGGCATCTCACCTGGTGGTCCAGTTATAGGGGGTATTTTCTTGAGGAAACCCCAAAAACTTCGATATGGGGCAAGATCTGACAGGTCTGTCAAATGTACAGAAAACACCAATGCTTTTCAAAGAAGTGTGCTACCCAGATCAGAAACAAGCTCTGGCAGTCTTGCTGCCTCGCTGGAATCCCTTTCTCATTGTGAAGGCCAAGGACCAACCCCTTAACTACTTGTAGCTCCCTGGTTACTGTCTCAGGCCACTGAATCAGGCAGTTTGGGGGCGTTGGCTCTTTCCATTCCCCTTTTAAATAGGAGATGTTGATTGGCAGTGAAATTTTTGAAAGAAAAAGTGAAGAGTAGCCACAAAGTTTTTTTTTATTCTTACCTTTTAAGAACATACAAAAGTTAAAGGCAGTAGTAAAATTTGATTTGAAAATTACATGTGTAAAATACTAATTTCCTTTGTACCCCAGTAAAAATTCCGTGTATAATCTTCAGTTGTTTTCTCTGCGTCTGCAAACACAGTCTGTAGCTTTTTCAGCAAATTGCTCTTTTCTTGCTTTATAATCTAATGATAATAAAAGCAAACACCTACTGAGTGCTCTGTGTGCCGGATATTTGTTAAGTATTTTACCTTCATTACCTCAAAAAACCCAGTGAGTAAACTATTATTATTATTCAATATGAGGCTGAGAGGCTAAATGACTTACTCAATGTCACAGACCCAGGCTTGTGTTCTTAACTACTACGCCATCTTTCTATGAGTCATGAGGTTTAGAATTATAGTCTCTTAAAACAAGAAGAAACCAAATACCTTTAGGGTCAGGGAGCTCAGCTGATTCTTCAACATCTCTCATTCTAAAGAATGGTGGTGTTAGTTGACAGATGGGTCAGTGCAGTGCTGGAGGCTGATCATCTGGATTCTGTACGGGTATCTGATAGTTTCTCATACCTTGGTAGAGTCCATGTGAAAATGTGGTCTGGGTGTTAACTGGGGAAATGACTGTGTTCAAAGGGTGTTCATCAACCAGGAATCTGCTGCTGGTGAGGAAGGGCCTCGGGGGCATTATTGAAGGGCTCTAGCCTCTTGGAACACTCCAGTGTTGATGAAAACTGGCTTGGGTGAGGATAGAGAGGACTTGGTCTTCAAGACTGCAGGAAGGGAGAGGAAAGACCATGGCAGATATAATCTAGGTCCAAAAACACCTGAAGGGGCTGCCTATGTCAAGATGGAGATTAAGAGGGATTAGGATAGAGATACATCTGTGGTTGATCAAGCAGGACCTGCTAACCCATGGTTTGGAGTTTGGTCTTCATCCTAAGAGCATGGTTTACAAGGCAGGTGACTTCCACCCAGTAGGTCTATTGTGCCTTTTAAATGAATGCTAGGTACATCTCTTAGCTAATAGTCCTTTTTGAAGACAGTTGCCATAGCTTCTGGCTTTTAGATTATATAAGGTAGTGGTTACTAGTTTAGCCTTTGGAGCCAGAGAAACTGAGTTTGAATCCCAACTGCAATCGTTAGTTGTGTGACCTTGGGCAAGTTACTTGAACTACCCCATGCCTCAGATTCCTCACCTGTAAAATGAGACTAACAATACTACCTACCTCATAGAACTTCTGAGAGAATTAACTAAGTTAATACAGGCAAGGCTCTTAGAACAGTTCTGGGCTCCTCGTTTTTGCTCCACAACCGTTACTTATTATTTTTATCATGGTTGGTATATACCGAGAAACAGAATGCATATTTACCCTGGCAGCTCCATCCACCCAAACTCCGGTCCTCAACTTCTTCACCCACTCCTGCTTCTGCAAGACTCAGCTTTGGTACCATCCCTTTGAGGGAACAGTCTCCCTTTCTCCCCCAGACCCATGCCTGAATTGGGCCCTACACCTGTGCCTCTATCTTTCCTGATACTTATCGCACAGGCTGTTACATTGTCTATTCACTTTCTCCACTCTGGACTAGGTTTTGTTTGTGATTATTTTCTCTTTTCCTTGTAGTAGCGTGGTTGTTATTTTTATTCTCTGTATCCCTGAGGCTTGCTACATAGCAGATGCTTAGCTGTGGAGTGCAAAGAGTAAATAAGTGAATGTAAAATCCAGCGTGATCACAGGGGCAGCCTTTAACCTATGGAACGGGACAAATGATTTTAAACACATAGCCGCATGCCAGCAACAACATGTTCCTAAAGTGATTCTAACAGATCATTGCTGAAGGCGTTATGCTACGTATCGGTTAGGATTACTCTTTCTGTGTAAAAGTTCATTTAAAAAGTTTATAATTTAAATTCTTCACTAATTTTTATTGTCCTTGTAGAATCTTGGTGAAATACTCTACGGTAGTGTTTCTGAAGAATCCCTGGATGGTGCAAACATTGAGCACCTCCGAAAGGTCATAACCTTAAAAACACTGTGGAGCAGTTCTACTCTGCATACATGGGGTTGGAATCAACTTGACGGAAACTAATAACAACAACATGGTTTCTCAACCTTGACACTATTACATTTTAGACTGGATCATTCTCTGTTGTGGGGGACTTGTCCTGTTTATTGTAGGATGTTTAGCACCATCCCTGCCCTCTACCAACCAGATGCCAGTAGCTACCTCTCCACCTCCCCCAGTTATGACAACCAAAAATGTCTCCAGACATTGCCAAATGTCCCCTACGGAACAAAATCAGCCTGATTGAGAACCACTGCTCTACTGCCACAGAAAATCATAAAGATTCCTCACATCACCACTTATTAAAAGTAAGCTGCTTCATAACAAGTTACAAAAAAAGACTTCTTGGCAATTACATAGCAGAGCAGGTTGACTTGAGCTTCTGCTCCTGACGTTTCAAACATAAGAATGGAGTGGATTTGAACTTTTACACAGTTTTGATCAGCATTGTTGTTGTTAGGTGCCTTCGAGTTGGTTCTAACTCGTAGTGACCCTATGTACAACAGAACAAAACACTGTCTGGTCCTGCACGATCCTCACAATTGTTGCTATTAAGTCTATTGTTGCAGCCACTGTGTCAATCCATTTCATTGATGTCTTCCTCTTTTTTGCTGACCCTTTACTTTACCTAGCATGATGTCCTTCTCCAGGGACTGGTCCCTCCTGATTACATGTCCAAAGTACTTGAGAAAAAGTTTAGCCATCTTCACTTATAGGGAGCATTCTAGCTGTACTTCTTCCAAGACATATTTTTTCATTCTTCTAGCAGTCCATGGTATATTCAATATTCTTCACCAACACCATAATTCAAAGACATCAATTCTTCGGTCTTCCTTATTCATTGTCCAGCTTTCACCTGCATATGAAGCAATTGAAAATACCATGGCTTGGGTGAGGTGCACCTTAGTCTTCAAGGTGACATCTTTGCTTTTGAACACTTTAAAGAGGTCTTTTGTGGCAGATTTGCCCAATGCAATATGTCTTTAATTTCTTGAGTACCGCTTCCATGGGTGTTGATTGTGGTTCTAAGTAAAATGAAATCCTTGACAACTTCAATCTTTTCTCCATTTATGATGATGTTGCTTATTGATCCATTTGTGAGGATTTTTGTTTTCTTTATGTTGAGGTATAATCCATAATAAGGCTATAGTCTTTGATCTTCATCAGTAAGTGCTTCAAATCCTCTTCACATTCAGCAAGCAAGGTTGTGTCATCTGCATATCGCAGGTTGTTAATGAGTCTTCCTCCAATCCTGATGCCCTGTTCTTCTTCAAATAGCTCATATTCTCAGATTATTTGCTCAGCATACAGATTCAATAAGTTTGGTAAAAGGATACAACCCTAACACACACGTTTCTTGATATTAAACCATGCAGTATCCCCTCGTTCTGTTCCAATGACTACCTCTTGGTCTACGTACAGGCTCCACATGAGCCATATTTAAGTGTTCTGGAATTCCCATTCTTCGCAATGTTATTCAAAATTTGTTATGATACACACGATCCAATGCCTTTGCATAGTCAATACGACACAGGTAAACATCTTTCTGGTATTCTCTGCTTTCAGCCAAGATCCATGTGACATCAGCATTGGTATCCCTCATTCCATGTCGTATTCTGAATCCAGCTTGAATTTCTGGCTGTTCCCTGTTGATGTACTGCTGCAACCATTTTTGAATTATCTTCAGCAAAATTTTACTTGTGTGTGCTATTAATGATGTTGTTCAATAATTTCTGCATTTTGTTGGATCACTTTTCTTTGAAAAGGGCACGTATATGGATCTTTTCCAGTCAGTTGGCCAGGTAGCTGCCTTCCAGATTTCTTGGCATAGACGAATAGGTGCTTCAGTGTTGCATCAGTTTGTTGAAACATCTCAGTTGGTATTCCGTCAATTCCTGGAGCCTTGTTTTTCGCCAATGCCTTCAGTGCAGCTTGGACTTTTTCCTTCAGTACTCTCAGTTCTTGATCATATGCTACTCCCTGGCTCAATGTTGACCACTTTTTTTGGGTACTTTGACTCTGTGTAATCCTTCTGTCTTCTTTTGATGCTTCTTGCATCGTTCAACATTTTGCCCATAAAATCCTTCGATATTGCAACTCGAGGCTTGAATTTTTTTTCAGTTCTTTCAGCTTAAGAAATGCTAAACATGTTCTTCCCTTTTGGTTTTCTAACTCCAGGTCTTTGTACATCATTATAATACTTTACTTTGTCTTCTTGAGCTGCCCTTTGAAATCTTCTGTTCAACTCTTTTACTTCATCATTTCTTCTGTTCGCTTTAGCTACTCTACGTATGAGAGTAAGTTTCAGAGTCTCTTCTGACATCTATTTTGGTCTTTCTTTCCTTTCTCTCTTTTTAATGACCTTATACTTTCTTCATATGTGATGTCCTTGATGTCATCCCACATCTTGTCTAGTCTTTGGTCATTAGTGTTCAATGCATCAAATCTACTCTTGAGATGGTCTCTAAATTCGGGCGGGATATACTTAAGGTTGTACTTTGGCTCTTGTGAACTTGTTTTAATTGTCTTCAGCTTCAACTTGAACTTGCATATAAGCAATTGATAGTCTGTTCTGCAGTTGGCCCCTGGCCTTTGTTCTGACTAATGATATTGAGCTTCTCCATGGTCTCTTTCCACAGATGCAGTCAATTTGATTCCTATGTATTTCATCTGGCGAGGTCCATGTGTATAGTCGCTGTTTATGTTGTTGAAAAAAGGTATTTCCAATGAATAAATCATCAGTCTTGCACAATTCTATCATGTGATCTCTGGTGTCATTTCTATCACCAAGGCCATATTTTCTAACTACTGATCCTTCTTCGTTTCTGACTTTTGCATTCCAATCACCAGTAATTATGAATGCATCTTGATTGCATGTTTGATCAATTTCAGACTGCAGAAGTTGGTAAAAATCTTCAATTTCCTCTTTGGCATTAGTGGTTGGTGCATAAATTTGAATAATGATCGTATTAACTGGTCTTCCTTGTAGGTGTACGGGTATTATTCTGTCACTGACAGTGTTGTACTTCAGGGTAATGTTCTTTTTGACAATGAATGCAGTGTCATTCCTCTTCAATTTATCATTGTCAACATAGTAGACAATATGATTGTCCAATTCAAAATGGCCAATACCAGTCCATTTCAGCTCACTATTGCCTGCAATAGCAATTTTTATGCATTCTATTTCATTTTTGACAACGTCCAATTTTCCTTGATTCATACTTCGTGCATTCCATATTCCGATTACTGATGTATGTTTGCAGCTGTTTTTTCTCATTTTGAGTCGTGCCATATCAACAAATGAAGGTCCCGAAAGCTTTACTCCATCCACATCATTAGGTTGGCTCTACTTTCAGGAGACAGCCCCTCCCCAGTCGTATTTTGAGTGCCTTCCAACCTGAGGGGCTCATCTTCTGGCACTATATCAGACAGTGTTTTGCTACTATCCATAAGGTTTTCACGGGCTGATTTTTTTCAAAAGTAGATCGCAAGCTCCTTCTTCATAGTCTGTCTTAGTCTGGAAGCTCTGCTGAAATCTGTCTACCATGGGTGATCCTGCTGGTATTTGAAATACCAGTGGCATAGCTTCCAGCATCATAGCAATATGCAAGCCACCACAGTATGAAAAACTGACAGATGACTTCTGGTGATCCACAACAGCCTTAATTTATTAAATTTGTTTTGTTATCATTCTTTTATTAGTCTGCCTGGGAGACTACTGATTTCACAGGCTTAGTCTTTTTATTTCTTTATAGTATTTTGGTATTTTCTTTTATTAGCTTTGTGCTCAAAAGTTCACTTGCTCTTTAGTTTACTATTATAAAACAGAAATTAAAGGACTTAATACAAAGGGCATTAAGACCTAATGAATGGTATCACTCAAACATTAACTGTGGTTATTGTTGTATTAAATATTAAATTATGAGCATACTTGAAATTCTCACAACTTGTGTATTCTTTTAAGCATAAGTTATTAGATGATGGATACACTTTCATGGTTTTGTCATCATTGCAACTTGCATTTCTCATAGAACTTTGCTTCGCTTGAGGCCTTGAGTTTCCTTTTAGGATCCAGGCATTATCTCAGAAGTGATCGTATCGCTTAAGAGGAGTAGCATAAAAACAAACTGGACAATATGTCTTTTGCTGGAAATGGCTTGGATTCTTTAAATTAAGAAAGGAGCAATGTCTAAGATTGAAGAGTGCATGGCCCACCTTCTCCAGCCTTGCCAGGAGACGTCTCTGCACTATATGTTCTTTTCACACCATACTCAGCAGTAGAAGTCAACACCTTGATTTTCAAAGTAAAAAGCAAAGGCAACACCCAAATGCACTTTAACTTTAGGTACTAAGTACATGATACCTTCTACCGTGGGCAGAAATTTATACTTGCTTAATAGAATGCCAAAAGATTTGAGCAGGAGCAATTTATTCTATTCGAAGTGTGGACCATGGACCAGCAGCATCAGTTTCACCCGGGAAGTTGCTATAATTGAAGAATCTCAGGCCCCATCCCAGACCTACTGAGTCAGAACTGGCATTTTAACAAGATTCCCAGATGAGTCATAGTCACATTAAAATTTGAGAAGCACTAGTCTAATCTGGTTCAAAAGAAACTCTGAGACAATTTAAATAAATCTATCTATATGCCCAGCTGTTGCCTTCAGAGATTCTAAATGTACAGTTCTTGCCTGTGTCCAGGCATCTGTATTTTTTTTTGTCTAACTCCCCAAATGATTCTGATACACACCCCCAGGTTAAGGTTGAGAATTACTGGTCCTATCAAACCCCTCAACCTTCAGAAATATAAAGGTTTGAGGTCAAACGGCTACTTGGAACCCAAACTGCTAACAGTAGCTTGGCTTATTGATACTTTTTTCTTCAAACCATATTGCAAATTTTCTAAGGCTCTTAACTAACCAAATTCTGCTGAATACCTGACTTTCACAACATTTGTATTATTATGCCTGCCTTATTCTCACGCATTCCTCCCTACCATCGGAGTTCATGTTGTCTCACTTGGCCCTAGAAGCACCAACCACACACAGAATTTGCAAGCACATAAATGCCTCTTGTGTCTCCAGCCAGAAAGGGTCATTTATTCTCATTTGTATACATTCATGCCTCCCCCTTAACACAGCACAATGTAGCTGCTGAATGAATGAGCCCATGCTTTCTTGGCTACAGTATCTCTTCACCATGTAGCCTGATAATTCTGCCTGTGTGAGTGCCACCAGAGGGCAAAACTACAGTTGCCACTTGATACTTTCAGTTATTTGAGATGGTAAGGGGTTCCTGGGAGGCTGGTAATTCTAAGTTTGAAAAGAGCATTACTGTAATCTTTTCCAAATGAGTGTGGTCTCATCATACGTGCTTGGCCTCTGACTCCCAGCTTGTGGTATTAAGAAAGGATCAGATCATTTCTACCTTTAATGCTGCAAGGATTAGGAACCAAGTTTCCAGATGGCAGAAGAAGGAAGAGACAAGAGAGTCCTGAGATGCTCTGGATGTGAATGTATTAAAACA